AATATTTTGTTGCATTTCCCTTCCAATTGTGCTGTCAACCCAATTTTGAGTGATATAACCTGTAGGTCAACTATTGTCCTATCCAACTTCACCTGTCATCTGCATTTTTTTTTTGGTCTTTTTTTTTAATCTTATTAGTTTTACTTGTTCTCATTATATTTATCTTCATTTGTTTTCAATAAATTTTTCCTCTGATGTCCAATTGTAATGTTTATCTGGGTCAATGGAGGAAGTTGTCATTCATACCACCCGCTGAACACATCAACTAACACCTCTGCCATTTCTCACTTTCCTTTAAGAGATATTTCACAACTTTTTTTTCTTTTTGTGGGTAGAGAGAGAGAGAGAGAAAAAAGAAAAAAAAGAAGAGAAATCTGCAGTCAGGTGTACACACATCAATGCATATTGTGTGTGTGTGTGTGTGAGAGAGAGAGTGAGTGAGTGAGTGAGTGAGAGTTGGCGTGTAGTGGCTCTTTAGACAAATTACTTCCCCAAGTTAGTTTAAAACAAAAGTACAACCATTAATGCGTAGTAAATTCCAACCTCAGTGTTTTTCTTTTTGTTCCATTTTGACCACTGAACTTGGCAATAACCAACTAAAACAGTCCCGTGACAGAACAAGAAAAAGGAAAGTTCTAGTTAATGAAAAAAACGCATGACTCATTCATGACAGATTGCTAAATTATAGTCTTACTAATGGAGGAACCTGCAGAAATTACACAGTATTTTTGATTTCATGATGATTTATTATGCAGATCATTATTCAAAGAAGAGGGTACAAACGAAAAGATTCAAAACTGACAGGGTCTTCCATTTCACTGTTGTTTTCTTATCAAAACAGTATGGTTCATTATTTATTTGAGATCATGGCAAGGGATGAAATAATGTAATCACCATGTATCTCAAAGTAAAGCTAGACAGAAGTAAATAAGAAGTTTAGGGATTTACTGTCCCCTTCTACCAAGAATTATATGGGGGAGAGAGACAGGCAAGTTATTACAGAGAATAACACACATGCTGACTTACTAACAGTGGAATAAACAAAATTATAATTCTTATATCTGATGATAATCTTCAACTTGGCTTTTAAGAAATTTTAATAACCAAACATTATTTCATTCATATAAATAGCAAAACGATAGACAAGAAAATATCACATTTATAGAAATACAATTCCTTTGCTATTTTCAAGAAGTACTCAGGATAGTACAGTGGAGGAATGGATAGCGGCTCAGATTGTGAAATCGGAAAGCCGAGTTCAAATTCCAGTCAAATCCATTACATTCACTTACATGCTAATACACTTGTGAAAGGTATGAATCCTCTCCTCCCCCAGCTATGGGTAAATAGCAGGACAGACTGGGTTCTATAGCCTTGGATGGCAACTGGTCTACCGCAGAAAGAAATAGAAACCTACTGCAGGAAAAAATCTGCCTCGTCAGTCATGTATCGAAAGATAAATGATCACTTAAGCATGTATCACTCAGGACACATAACTGACTGTACTTTTGAGGAGAGTCAATATCATCCAATTTCTTTTAGATTATTGAACTTATTCTTTGTGTCGTTTCCTTGTAACAAGATTTCAACCGATCCATTCTACAGCCCTATTCAGTTATGCAATAAGTAAATGAAGAAAACGGTATTTTATTTATTTTTTGCTAGGGTGGGGACAGAAAATTATTTCTGAAAGTGAAATTAACTGGTTAACTCTTTTCTCATGAAATTAAATAAAGAAATCGCAACCTACTGCAAGAAAAAAATTGCTTCATCAGTCATGTATTGAAAGATGCATGACACATAACTGACCTGACTCTGGTGGTGGTGGGGGGGGGGGTAATTATTTCTATATAAGAGTGCATATTCAGTAGCTTTCATTTATATCAGAAACTTAAGCAACATGCATTATTGATCTAATGTTGACTAACAATTTCTCCTTCACCTTCAGTTACACTGGCTGTGGACTAATCTGAATTACAGTACTATAAATACAGAATTAATTTAAAAGTATCAAATACTAATCTTCAATTCTATTGAACATGTATAAATCATTTTATATACAATACTGGAGATGAAATGTTAGTCATTCAAAGATAAAAATATAACTCAGATTTTTTTTTCTTTTTAGTTCAGTATACTTTATGCATGAATCTAGTGTTGTCTGGGCTGGGAGAAGACATCCAGGACACCAATATTCTATTAATGCAGTCTGAATTGGGGTGCACATATCTGGGGCACCAATATTCTATCAATGGAGTCTGGACTGGAAGTGCAACCATCCGGGGTACCAATATACTATTAAGCAGTCTGGACTGGGGATGCACACATCAGGGCACCAATATAAGTAAAGTAAACAATATTTTATTTATAAGTAAACAAAGAAAATGCAGTCAGGACTAGGGATGCACACATCCGGGGCACCAATATTCTATCAATGCAGACTGGATTGGGGATGCATACATCCAGGCTACTAATATTCTATTAATGCAGGGTGGATTGGGATGCACACATCCGGGGCACCAATATACAATTAATGCAGTCTGGACTGGGGATGCACACATCCAGTGCACCAATATTCTATTAATGCAGTGTGAATTGGGGTGCACACATCCGGGGCACCAATATTCTATTAATGCAGTCTGGAATGAGGATGCACACATCGGGGGCACCAATATTCCATTAATGCAGTCTGGACGGCGGATGCACACAAATGGTGCACCAATATTCCATTAATGCAGTCTGGATGGGGGATGCACACATCCGAGGCACCAATATTCTATTAATGCAGTCTGGAATGGGGATGCACACATCGGGGGCACCAATATTCTATTAATGCAGTCTGGAATGGGGATGCACACATCGGGGGCACCAATATTCTATTAATGCAGTCTGGACGGCGGATGCACACATCTGGTGCACCAATATTCCATTAATGCAGTCTGGAATGGGGATGCACCTATCCGAGGCACCAATATACAATTAATGCAGTCTGGACTGGGAATGCACACTTCCGGGGCACCAATATTTTATTAATGCAGTCCCGACTGGGGATGCACACATGTGGGGTACTGATATTCTATTAATGCAGTCTGGATTGAGAATGCACACATCCAGGACACTGATATATTAATTAAGTCTAGGCTGGGTGGGGCCTACACATCCAGGACATTGATCTTCTATTAATGCAGTCTGGGCTGGAGGGACACATCCATGGCATCAATCTTTTATTAATGCTGTCTGGGCTGCAAGTACACATCCAGGATACCATGCCTGGGGGCCACATCCAGAACACTAATCTTCTATTAATGCAGACCAGGCTGTAGAGAGACATCCAGGACACTAATCTTATATTAATGTAGGGAGACACATCCAGCACACCATGGCTGGGTGAGGCATTCAGGATACGAATCTTCTATTAAAGCAATCTAGACTGGGGACACACATGCAGGACGTCAATCTTCTATTAATGCAGTCTGGGCTGCAGGGACATATCTGGGGCATCAATTTTAGATTAATTATTATGAAATAACCAGTTAACAGGTCATAAATTTTAGGGGTCAAGTTATTACTGACACTAACCTGCATTTGTAACAAATGTCTTAAGACATATACATCAGTATATTAAATGAAATGGGTCCTATAATTCTTTTTCTGTTACTTATATATCAATCATAGATTAGTTGCAATATTTTTATAATTTGTGTAGAAATAGTTTAAACAGTTTGTAATTTTCATGCTCATTACAGACTTACTAATTTCATATTTTATGAAGAATTTTTGATTTTAAAACATTACCGAACAAGTAATATTAAATTTTTCATAATTAAGTTTATATCTAAATAAATTAGACCACATCATTTCCTTATTTACATATACTTTGTTTTAATAGGAAATTATGCAAAGTGCTTTATCCTCTTTTTGTTTTGGGATATCAACCAATGGGGTCAATAGAAACAAAAAAAAAAAAAAAAAAAAATCTGTGTGCCAACACTAAGTTTAATTGCAAATCTGTTTTAAACAGTCCAGCAGGCAATGTAGTAACTAAAACAGAGTTAGAAATCCAAACTTCCCAAAAACAAAAATGCACTTTCACTCACCAAACTCATTCTCTTACTGGTAAGCAACAGGCTTTATTCAACGAATAATTTTTCTGACTGACCACACCATTCAGGAAGGAAAGACCATTAACAGTTCCTCTGATACTTAAAGTAGCAGGTTTTTTTGCTATTTTCTTTAATTTTCCTTCGACAGACAACACACAAAACGCAAGGTCTTTTTCAAAGTAGGTGATTTTCTCTTTCATTACACTTTTGTTTTTTTTTGTTTTTTGGGTTTTTTTTAACTGTTAATGCTAGAGATATCTTTGGAACCAATTTTGTTTAGAAAAATATTGGTTTACCTACCTTTGTTGCACAAATGTTGTCATGAGACTACTTTGAAAAATATACATTAAAAATGAAATCAATGTCTCCTTAACAATTTACAATTTTTTTTTCAATCTTTGTGACAGTAAGTGCAGGTGGTCAAATGGTTAACAGCATGGAAAAAAGAATCTGTGAATTCAAATTCTCAGTAAAACAGGTTCCTTTTGGTAAAAAAATGAATGAATTCATCTCTTTTAGCTGTGAGTGGAAGCTCTATGTTTGGTTGGCAACCAGTCTAGGAGAAGACTACAACTTTAAATTCAAAACTCAAGAGACCACACCACTGTCATTCCCTAAAAACAATCATTGCAGTACAGTTTACAGATAAAAAGTTATGGAGAGCAATTGATTACATCTTGGAGGAATACAAGACATTTTATTTGGAAAAAAGAAAATGTCACATTTATTGGCTAGGATTTATGTCCGAGTAAGTTTTTTTGAAGAGAAATGGCAACTTCATGAAAAAAGAAATTTTAATTATCATTAATTACTTCATAAGTATTAAGGTGTGAACTTTACCTTTTACTTTATCTAATAATTACTTGATATTTAATTCATTTAAAGTCGATTGCTTACCTGTGCATTACTTCATGTAACCATTTAGGTTTCTTGCATAAAGGCATTTCCAAATTGTGGAATTCTCCCAACTTTCTTCCAATAGTTTTAAAGATCATAGGATTGTGCAAGTCTCTTCGTGAAAGACAGCGAGCCTGTAAAAAAAAAGAGAAAAGTCAAATAAATTGCTATTATTTTTTTCTTAATAGGGTCAAATTGCTATCATAGAGAAAAAAATACAGCTGGAATGATGGGTAGTCACCTTTAACACTAATACCCTTGGGGAAAAGAATAAATCTACTTATCCCGCCCTGCAACTAGATGGCAACAGAAAAGCAACTAGAGCTCTTTAGCTTTGGAAAGCAATTGATTTTGGGCATTAAGTTGAGGATCATTCCTTGCTGCTCTTTTACTTGGAGATGAAGAGAAAATGGGTACTGGCAACTAAACCCTAATTGCTTTAAGAGATGCTACAAAGAGGAATTACTAATCATAGTACACCAATAATACAAACACCCATGTTGTTAATAAAAAAGAAATTTATAATGCATAAATTTATGTAAATTGGCATCCTCATTGTGGTTGTTTTAGTTGCATTTCAACCATTGTACCATCCACCCTACTTCAGGTGATTCTTGTATTTGATAACATTCTGAAAAGAAGCCACAGAATACAAGAGTAAAAACATTGGCATAATATAACCAAAACGAGAAGACAAACTCAAATAAATCAATGTATAATGGTAATACTGAATTTCAAAAACCCAAACAAAAATAAAAATAACATGCACAAAGCCTGTTCAAGCATACAAATCATTAATGAAATTAGTATAAGTAAATAGTGTCTAAATCCTAACATTTTTTTTATAAAATTTATAAGTGGATTTAGAGGATTATTAGTTTAATTGTAATCTGTACTTTGATTTGATCTGTAATAAATCTAGTGGATAATGATTAATCTGATTGGAGACAAAATACTTCTTTTATAGTTTATGTTGGTAGTAAATGTCTTCATTCTATAAAAGGTCCTGGGGAGAGAGTTGACATGAGAAAGAAATAGATCAACATTGCAATACCACCAGCTTATATTAATCCCCAAACAGAATTAAGGTTATGCACAGAAATAACACTATAAGCCGAGGAGAAGGGGTTCCGTTTCACTTTATTCATCGATGCCTCTGTGCAGATACTGCAATATGCTAGCCTTATTGAGCATATAATTGGGACAGGCATCACTGCGTCAGACATACAGTAGTCCATCATTATCACCAGGGGTGGGGGAGTGGCCAGGAATATGTTTGAGTTCTCAGCAGGTGCCACAAAATGCAGATATTTAGGCATGATGGAGTAATGGATAGCAGCTCGGATTGAGGAATCAGAGAGCTGAGTTTGAATTCCGGTCAAATCCATTACATTCACTTATATGCTAATACCCTTGGGAGAGGTATGAATCCTCTTCTCACCACAGCTATGGGTAAATGGCAGGACAGACTGGTGGATGGCAACTGGTCTACCGTAGAAAGAAATGTCAACCTACTGCATGGAAAAATATGCTTCATCAGTCATGTATCAAAAGATACATGATTGCCTAAGCCTTTATCATGCATGGCACATAACTGATATAAAGGCAAACATGGACCTTCATGACCACAAAAAAAAAAAAAAAAAATTTCAAAAATATGTTTTTTTTTGTTTTTTTTTTATTGATAAATAAAACTTGGACCTTACTGAATTCCCCTCCCCTGCTCCCACTGTCAAAAGGACATTTTTCCATCGACACCACCATTAATTTTTATTTACCTTCTATCCTTGGCAATATTTATCATTTTAAAAGGCGATGATTCAAATTGTAATAAAACTTAATGATGAAAGTGAATTCATACATTCTTTTGTTCTTAAGAATTTACAACAAAAGCAATAAACACTATTTTTTAGATAGTTTATTTACAAGATTTATAGTTTCAACATTCTAAAAACTAATACAATTAAGTCTAATACAATGCAATATATATCATTTACCAATTTATGAAGAAATAAATATGAAAACAATTTTTTATTCATAAATTTACAAACATTTAGTAAATTATTAAAATATGTGAACCAACTATAAGGAAATGCTTATTTACTGTTTTAGAAAGTTCAAATTCAGTTGCAACACCAAGGGCCTAAAAACTTGTAGCCTTGAACATTATATTCTCTGCTTGGTTGTTCACCTCATCTGTTATAAATTTTTTTTAGCAATCTTGGGCCTTCATGCCCACAAAAAATGTTTTTCCCTTGAAATTGCTATTATTTTAACTACCATTCATCCTCAGCAGTGTTTGTTTTAAAATCAATGATTGAAATTGTAATAAAACATAGATCTGATGAAAGTGAATTTATACATTATTTGTTATTTAAAAAAATATTAAACACTGTTTATGCATTAGATTCTTTATTTACAAGAATAAATTTATATTTACAACAACATTCTAAAAACTAATACAATTAAGACGAAGGCAATATTTATCATTTACCAATTTATGAAGAAAGAAATACAAAAACTTTTTTTATTCATAAATTTATAAATATTTACGAAATTATTAAAATAAATTAATCCTTAATTACTATTTTTTTAAGTTTGAATCAATTTGCAATTAACCAATGTTAATTGTCAACTATTACAATAAACAATATAATAAATAGTGTAAATAAACAATCTAATGGTGTTTATTATTTTTATTGTAAACTCAATAACAAGGAAAATGTATAAATTCATTTTCATATGTTTAGGTTTTATTACAAATCTAATCATTGCATTTTAAAAACAATATACATTGCTAAGGAGTGAAGGTCCTTTTGACAGAGTTCAGGGGGTGGTGCAGTAAGGTCCAAGTTTTATTTATAAATTGGACAATAAGATAAACAACAATAACTAATGAAATAAAACGATTATAACAATATACTGTAATGAAAGTTATGACAGATAAAAGATTCATTCTTACGATAACAACTTAAGTTTAAGTTATTGATGTCTGCATTTGTGAGAAGCCTTATTATATAAATTAATAATAATAATAAAAAAAAGGAAAAATAATTTATCTACAAGAGTGCTGAAAAGTTCTCACCCCTCCCTTCCTAAATATAAATAAAACTTGGATTTTTTTTTTTTTTTTTTAAGGAGAGTGGAATATTCCTTGGCCATGCTAAGAACTTTTCAGCACCTCCTCATGCTATATTCAATACTGTTATTTAGTTGTACTCCCTTTTAAAGATATTACTTCTGAAGGAGATTTTTTTTCTTTCTATGAATTCAGTATCCAAATCACAAACTTTGATAGAGAAAGAGAGAGAAAGAAAGAGAAAGAGAGAATACCAGCAAGTAAAGGTGCACTATCTTGTGTATTATTTATTTGTTGAGCCTTCCTTTTCAGTAGTCAAGTGTTTGATGATGAAGGAAAATCTTTCAGTATTTATAGAATGTTAGAAATGAAAACGGAAGAGCCAGGATCACCCCCCCCCACTTTTTTTATATACAGATGTGATTCCATTCCTTATCTAATCACTTCCCATTTAGAGAATTTATATTATGACAGGATAAAATTTTAAATCTAAATTGTTTGTCCATTTATTTAACATATTGCATTTATTAGAAGATATATTCAGTTTAAATAAAAGAGTCATAAAAATTACTTCAAAATGGAGACACATTTTAGCTTATGTTCTTTTCCTGTTATCCAGGTGTTGTTGCCAGACACAAAAGTAAAACTACCTCTCCTGACACATATTTATTTCAATTTCATGTTGTGCATATATATTTACATGTATAATTCAATGACAGACCTAAAAATATTTTTACAAATTTCTTAAACTTTTTAAAAATAATTCTATTTATACCTGAATAATTTTCAAAAATTCAATAAAATCTTGTAATTATCCGATTTCTTTTTTAGGGTTAAAAAAATAAAACATTAAAGATTTTTTCTTCCTTGTCTCCTACTTTATGATGTTATTGTTCAACCTAGAGTAGAAATTGTTCAGACTGAGGTGGGAAGGAAATGTTTTATTCCAAATTAAATTAAATTAAATTAAATTGTGTGTGTGTGGATGCATGCACATATATTAAATGGCACAAGCACATGTAATCCACTCATGCACAACATAAACATATGCATATACATTATATATATATGTAGATGCAAAAATCATACGTAGACAGATCTTTCATAATGCATATTAATAAACACTAATTATCACTAAGATTAATTATTATTTTTTAAATATTGTCATTGGCATATCACAATGACTACTGAAAGCTCAAGAGTAACTACTTCGTAATTAGTAGTTAATAGACATGGAGTTATTTCCATTGAACTTCATTTCTTTAAGTCAATTTACAACAGATTTCATGATACAGCAAGTGCTGCAGCTCATCTAGTAAATCTGTCAGCCAAACTCAATTAATTTGGTATAAACAGACTTGAACAATTTAAGGTTACATTTTAAATGCCTTCTAAAGATATTGTCTATAAAGTTTGCAAAAAACACTCATTATCATTCCATTATTTGTTTGGATCATTCGTTATGTGGCAGACAAATGTTTGCAAAGAGAAGAGCTCACATTATTCCTTTGGGGGATAAAATCCAAGTTACAAATAACAAACAGCATTGGAGAGTAAGAAAATTAAAGGAAGCAGCATATATTATTGACTGGTCAGAGCAATGCAGATGTCAGTGAAGTGCAAGGAGAGAATTGGTGTACATCACCTCTGTATAATGTAATGTTACTTATTTTATGTGAATGCAGAGAAGAGTTGTCTGTGTGGCCTGTATTCCTGGGAGTCATCTGAACCAGTCAGGATATTCACACACAAAAAAAAAAAAAAACTTTGTTAAAGATTGTATTCCTGAAAAGGCTGTTAAATGAAGCAACTGAAAAAGCCATGATAACAGCAATTTTTGATTAATTTGTTTTTTGTTTCTTTTACAACTTAACTTTTTGTAGGTTATTTTAAAGCCAGAAAATACTTTTAGATTGTAAGAATTATTTACAGATAATAATTAATCCATACTTTTTTTTTATGGTATGTGCATATTAGTTAAAATAATGAACTCAAATGGAATTGGAATTCAGCTCTCCAAATTTCAATTCTGAGTTGTTATCTATTCCGAGTTGTTAGCCACCTGCACATCCAAGCTTATAGTGCCTGGTATTTCCAAGCAGTCACCCATCTAGTTGCTTAACTTTGGTGATCATACAAGGACTGGTGTTTCAATGTGAAAGGGTTGTAAGCCAAAAACAATAAAAGCAACACAGAAACAAGTTCACTTGTCTAAACAAATCATGTAATGGTAAATATCTTAGATAAAAAGAGATACAAAATACAAAGTTTTCTAAATTTAATGCTCAAAAATATATATCCATCAAGCACACACATATAGCTCAGATTGCACAAAGAACAATACTTACAGGAATGTACTCTTCAAGCCGGCCATCTGGGAAGGCACCAAACAATTTTGGACCAAGACATTTCTCCGAGAGAATAGCAAATATCACTGAATTTCTCACAACAAAACCAGCACTTGTCTTAGCAATATGGCCGTAGACTCTGAGGAGTACTTTTCGAGGTTCATCTGGTCTCAGCACAGGATAATGGGGAGGTAAGGAACAGATGTACAAATAGTTGGTCAAGCCACCACTGGAGCAGAGATGATGAGATAAAGGGGAGGGAAAAAGAAAAGAAAAGAAAAGAAAAGAAAAGAAAAAAAACATCAGTTTTATTTTTGAAACAATATAAGACATTAAAGAAAAGCAATCAAAATGGAAAAGAAAAAAAAAATGGAAAATGGAACCAATCTGTGTTGGTTGACTTGTTTTGCTTTAGACATTTATAACCCCCACCCCCCAAAAAAATTTCAACTGAGCAGATGATTTTAAAACTTTGAAAGCAAGACATTTTGCATTTCTTAATTTCAAATCATAAAAATGTTCTCATTTTTTAAGTTTTTAGATCATGTACATTCGTTGTTTTTATTAAATACTTTTTTTTTTTAACCATTTCACCCCAAGCAAGACAATAAAGCCACTAAGGCACAAGGGGTTACCGAGTGTGAAAGATTAAGACAAACATAATTAAGGAGTGAGAACAATAAAACAACAATCAAGAAGGCATTAGATAATGATTGACATTGCATTTAAATTTTTGAAGATCAAAGTTGGCTGGGCAGCAGAAAGTTGGAAGATAGTTCCACAGGCAAGAAAAGAAATTGTTAGCAAAGAACTTGTGGTTACATCTAGCCAAATGAACTGTAAAATGATGAGACCTTATTGCCAATCTAGTACTGCATTTAAATTCACAAAGTCTAGGTACCATAGAGCAAAGTTCATCAGAACAATTACCATGAAAGTATTTATGCTTTTTTTAAAAAAACATTTGGTTGATAAACGATTTTGAATGCTAAAGCAAACATCAAACTTGAAAAATAAAATTTCTGTCAGAATCTTTAAGAAATTATCATTTGCATTGTTATTAATGTCTTCAATCTTAGTTGTTGCTATCACATTTCAGCCATTATCTTAATTCAGCCTTCTTCAGGAATCTGGTGATCCCTGTAACCATCAGGAAATTTCAAACTGAACCCTTTATTTAATCTATGGTGTTAGATTGTTTTCATTTTACTGTCCATGTCTAGAGATATCTCATCCAAATTCAAAGAATTTGAAAAACAAAGCAGTAGTTTTAATGAGATTTGAATTCTCACCCTTTCCAAAGTCAAAGTGGTTATGGCATCATCCATGAAAAACAGGCTTTCCTGTTTCAAGATTTGAGTTTAAGCCTTGTCCAAAGATACCACCCAAGTTAGCTGCACTGCTACAATACTTCTTGGAAGAGGTGGCAAGACCTCCACACTCAACCCAGCCTAAGAGAACATAAATATCCAATAAAAAAAAACAAAAAAACAACAACAACTTAGCTCTTGAGCAATATGTAAGCTGATTGCAAATTCTTGCTACATTTAGGTAGCCTTGTGGGTAATGAGTTATTTTCCAACCTACAACATGAACTATCACTTTGTGGAGCAAACACCCAACAGGATACTTCCTCCGATCACAATGCTCTTAATATCTTTGAATCTAGGGTCAAACATTATATATCTTACATATTCTCATAATATGCACTTCTTATTTCTTCTAACAGGATTACAACTTTATTCAATAACACTAACTTGGGTGGCTCTTGAGCCTTGTGTTGAGTGAGCAAAAAAGATCATCATCAGCCATCAAAAACCAGACTATTTAACTATCAACAAATGATTTAGAAATGCAGTCTTGCATGCAAAAAACATACATAAGTGCTGAATGCAAAAATGATCACTTTTCAGTTAAAGAGTAAAATTACAAAAATCAAACAAGCCTAAAGAAATTCCTAAATTGAAAAAAAAAAAAAAAACCTCCCATCTGCAAGCAAACACATGTGGCCACCAGTACCAGGTTAACTTAGTAGCAAAAGTAACAAACACTCCAGGCATTCCATTTTCAATTGACCTCACGTTAAATATTTTTAAGCCGTCTGTTGAAATTGGCATCTTACAATCTGGTAGTTTTAATGTTTATATAATGGGAGAATTGCCGTTTTAATTATTCATCATTTCAGATAACATACTAAGGCCATTAAATCTACTCGAATATCTCATTAGAATCATTTTCCTCCTATTTTTATGGGTTTGTTTATTATGTTGATAGAGCCTAAATATTTTCTAGCATCATGATAGAATTTTTAAAAAAATCATATTTTTCCCCAAGGGTATTTGTGCATAAGTGAATGCAAAAAACTAATAGCAAAGAAAAACAGAATATTTGAAGCTATATTAAAAAAAAAAAAAAAAAAAAAAAAAAAAAAACATTAAACACAGTATTAGGAAGAGAAAAGAGTAATCAGGAAGACAGTAGATCGCAATTGACATTGCATTTAAATTTTTGCCGATTAAAGTTGGCTGGAATGCATGGAGCTGTAAGGGAGTTCCACTATATGAGTTGAGTAACGAAAAGTTTGTAGTCTCACTTAATTCCCAAAATCTGATGAAATGGCCAAATTTTGGAATTTCTGTAAAAGGGCTTCTTGGTTGGGCCAAGAACTTTTCAGCAAGCCCCTAAAACCAGTGCCAGATTAACCTAGTATCAAATGCTCCAGGCCCTGCATTTTCAAGATCTCCCTTGTTAAATACTTTCATGCCATCTAGTAAAATCTGCATTCTTACAATCTGACAATGTTAATGATTACCTGTTGGAGAAGTGGCAATCTTGAATTATTCATCATTTCAGGTAACATTATATCAAGGCCGTTAAATCTATTCAAATATCTTGTTAGAATCATTTGACTCCTATTTTTATGGGTTTGTTTATTATGTTGACAGAAATTAAATATTTATCAATTTTATAAGCTCTATCGCTATGCCCATGAATAAATTATGATTTAATATTTATGCGTATTTTTGAATTTAGGACATATGCTACAGATGCTAGACTAGTTTAATCCAGCCCTGGTAATCATAATTGGGAACAAAGATGAAGCTTTGGAACAGGTTAGGGAATCAAAGTGGAACACTTTAAGAAAAGTACTAGTGACAAAATCAAAGTCACCCCCCAAGGAAACAAAGATAGAGAGAATTAAAAGTGAGAGAAATAATGCAGAATATACAAGGTTAAACAAGACCTTAGAATTTAGTCCAATTTTTTTTTTTTTTTTCTAAATCTGTACCCCCCCCCATGCAAGGCAATAAAGCCAATAAGACACAAGGGGTTACAGTGTAAGGCAGAATTAGGAATAGAAACATTAATAATGAACAGGAAGTGAAAAGAATAATCAGGAGGACAGTATGTATCAATTGACACTGCATTTAAACTTTTGCAGATTAAAGTTAGCTGGAAAGCATAGTGACCTAAGAGAGTACCACAAGTGAAAAGTACAAGTATATAAAAAAAAAAAAAAAATTATTAGAGAATTTACAGTAACGTCTAGTGGCAAGCTCAACTGTAAATTGATGAGATCTTGACACCAGTCTAGTATTGGTGCTTAAATTCAAAAAGTCTAGGTAGAGAAGCAAAAGAATAGCTTAATGAGAAATGTGCAGGGATTGAAAACTGCAGAACACAAATGTAGTAGGCATGCACAAAAAGAATAAAAGGAGAAAGCAATGGATTAAAAAAAAAAAAAAAAAAAACATTTAACAAGTGTACATAAATAGGACAAGTTTATAAAAACTTTATTGCATCAACAATACAGTTATATTTACTATATTCTTTTGTGTATAAAAACTCACTTATTTTGAAGAGAAAGGTTTTAGAGAGAGGGGAACTGGTCATATTAGAAAGATTCTGAATGAAAAAATTCAAACATTAGTATAAATCATTCTAAATAGTGGGTTGGTGCATAATTATCAGGCGTTTTTGTAGGAGAATTATTTGTTAATAAAAAATTGCTGTTTTGTTTACTTTTCTTAATAAAAAAATATTTTATTTTCAGGTTATAAAACTGCATGTCGATAATCATATGCTCTGGAATAATTATTTAAAAATGTTGTTGATTATGCTTTTTTTTTTATAATAAATATTGTTTAAAAAAAACTTAATACAATGAGTTGAAGGAAAGGAAATACCATAAGAAAAACAAAAAGAAAAAAAAAAAAAAAAAAATAAAGAAAAGAAAATTTACTATTGTTTAGTTTTCCTACAAAATTTCTCCCTCACCCACATGCAGACCTAAGCAAGCATCAATCTTTTCCTTTTTCCACTAGGGTTCATACAAAAACCTTCCTGCTGCATCCTATCATTTAATTCCTCCCTCATTAAAGATTTAAAGGCTTTGTTAAGAGAAACATTGAATGGTTGCAATTAATTTGTTAAACCATGTACAGCATCCATTTGTACATATTGTCGGATTTTAGTCATTTCATAATGTGTGATGTCATTTGTTTACATTTGGATACACATCGAGCAGATATGAATGTACAAGAGAAAATCATGGAAAATTGTAGTTTAAAAACATTAAAATCGACCTTGCTAACCGAAATGCTCCTCTGTGGTTCAATCGGTAAAGTACGTCAGGCTATATGATGGTTCTGCATAGAATACAGGTTCGATTCCTGTCAGAGGACGCATATTTCCTATGAAAATTTCTTGAACATTCAGGCTGGTAAGTGTCATTAATACTGTTTATTATAAGCAGAGCATTTACTTAAATATTTGTATCTATAAAAGAACGTATAAACATAAAAAATGTCTTGAAATAAATATATATATATATATATATATATATATATATATATATATATATATATATATATATAGTTCATATTATGTATTTTCATACCTTAAGTGTATATGATGTAAGCAGATTTCAACATCAACTTTTGGAATAAAACAGCACCTTATACACTAAAAATTTGGTAAGTTTCCTTATTTTGTGGAACTAAAAGTTTGTGAGAATACCTATTTGATAACATGGCAACACCTTTAAGAAAAGAAACAATGAAGGATGTGATACTTAATATTTTTTTTATCTTAATTTCAGGTGTTTTTTATTGCAGCAACTCAGACCATCATTCTATAACAATTACTAAACAGTATGGATTGGAAATTAAGACTATATTCGTGCATCTCCCCTGTCTCAAAACCTATCTTACTGTGTATATTTTATCT